TAACAAGGGATTATTTTAAAGTAGATATATATGAGGGAGTTTTAATATATAAAAATATGTACGTAGTTGGAGAGCTGGTATCGACAAGAAAGTGTACATTTTTTGTTTCTTTCATGATTTTGACTGGCAAGGATACGAAAACTCTGTGATTTCTTCCAAATATAATTCCGTTCACTTCTTTAAATTCTTTATCCGGAGAATATGATAAGTATTTCGTTTTTAACATTTCCGAAATTTCTTCATGCAGGTCTTTGGAAAAAACATCTGTTAATAGGACATCATACATTTCTGGATTATAATCGAAATCAATTATATCGAACAAATCTATCTTCTCATTATAAACCATCTTGGTTCTATTTATCTTCGTTGATTAATGATTCATCCGTTGAAAAATAAATTCAATAATATTGACGATCTTAAAAAATAAAAATAAAAATATGATTGGCTAATTTTTGTTCATTAAAATTACGTAATAAGCAACGGGATTAGTATGTTATGCCAGAGGACAGTGAATTAACGGTTGCACTAAATGTCTTAAATTTGATACAAGCATAGATGAAAAGACTAATAAAGATTTTATTAATGAGGTATTACGTATTTATTATAGTTAAACTTTAATGGTATCTTACTACTGAACACAATACAGTCTACCCTCGTTAATATCAACTTCATTTTTACAAATTTTTATATATTAAAACTCCCTCATATATATCTACTTTAAAATAATCCCTTGTTAATATCATTATCAACATGATTTAAACCAATTCAAATGGGTTGATATAAACGAGGGTAGACTGTAATAAGTTTTATATTTCATATAATTAGCTTAAACTATTACGAATTTTACGAAGAGTTTCTAGTCATCAAACCATTATTTCATTTCATGGAGTCACGAAAGGTAAACTAGCAATTTATAATTTTTGAAGTTATCAATATTTAATGATATATATTCTCAATCATATATAAATTCATTCAAATTGAATATAAATTCATTCTAATCGAATATATAGATAGCAACGGATATTATAATATAAAAAAGTTTATTAAATTACAATGGACAAATAAACTATCCATCGCCAAGGAAATAGCACTCGGACTTTTATTTTTATATAATAATATTATTATTCATAGAGATCTGGTATGTTATATTTAATAGATTTATATTATTTATCAGTTATTGATTTACTAATACGTACTTTAATCATTATGTGGTATATTTTAATAATAATTTAATTTAATAATTTAGCATTCGAAAAACATCTTAATTCATCAAAGACAACCAAAGATTCCAGATTTTGGTATATCAAGCAGATGAATTAAATGTCTATGACTTATGGGATGCCAGCATATATGGAACCTAAGTGCCTTGTTGATCACAAATATAAGCGTGATAGGAAATCTGACGTTTATAGCTTTGGTGTAATTCTTTGGGAAATTTCAAGCAAAAGGCCACTATTTTAATCTTTTGTAACAAGATAACCACTTGCCATTCACATATTCTTAGGAAATAGAGAAAAACCTATAGATACCATTTCACCTGAGTCACAATACTGACGTCCCATTTTACTAACACGACATAATTTCGAAGATCCCAAAGTTTATTTACCTGAAAATAAATTTTACCGATAAGTCATTTTCTGTAATTTTCATTTGACCGAATATTAAAAGAATGAATGTCTATTTTACTGACATGCTATTTTACCGAATGTACATTTTTCTGACATTTCATTTCTTCAAAAATATCTTATTGAAAGTTCTTTTACCGAAGGATGTTTATTCTGGGTCACTTGATAAACCAAAAATGGTTCTACCACAGAATCTGAAAGCCGCATTCCCGAAAGAACATAATACTGTCGGAGGCAAAAGGGTGGGAACACGGACTACCCGATCACCTCCGAAACAACAACCAACCCACACCATATACCCAAAGGTCAGAGTTTGGCAAAATAAGGGTATATTGTGGGGTTCTAAGAAACAACTCATTTATGTTTTTTTTTTATCTAATACATTCACTCGTTGTTTTTTATTAGAGGGCGAAACAAGCACATATTTATAATAAATTTACATGCGGGGACAAAAGAAAAAAGAACTTTTCTAATCTAAGCCCAGCCCCGGTACGCCACATTGGGGTGTGGTAAATCAAAACTATGTATAGATGTATATCAAATTTTATATGTGAATTTTTTAAAAAAAAATTAGTGATCAGTATAG